TCTGTACGCGTGATCACGCCCAACTATGCCGTATAAAAGGACAATGCGGTCGCTGCAAATATAATCCGGTTTACAAGTCCGGAGTCGAATCCCACAGAGAGTTAACCTATCAACTGCTACCTTCAGACCCACCAAGTCTTCAGAACCAGCTTCCCAAATATTCAAATTCTCAGTTGATTGTTCTTTAATAACTAACTTGCAAGTAAATAAAAGGCTATAACTAAATTAGAAGGGTTGTAAACAATTATGAAAAAAGGCTAAGGCAATGATTTCCCCTATTGATGAAATCCCTTCTGTTTATGCTCATACAAATTTACCCACACATCTCTATCAATCTTGAACGCTAATCTTACCGCAAATCTCTCCCGAGTAATCACAGTAATCTACTATTGCACTCTCCCGAGATACACTAGCTTGCTTAAATTCGCACAATTCAATTTAAATTGCACCCAAGCTTCGTTATTCCTAAGCCCGCCTTTAAACCCGCAATTATAGATTCCTCTAATAATCTAGGAGTGGTGTTGTTCAACAATACCCTAAATATGCACTCTTTTCCAAGTTATGCACACTAAATAGGCACAGCTAATTGAGGATCCTGTCAATTAACTACAACGAACACGAAGTTGAACAAATAAAGATTTAACTAGCAATTTGTATTCACATAAACAAGAAGTTCATCACTCAATAGGGTCCATCAAAGCCTTAGACAAGGAATTTAGCTACTCATGACTATGGGAGAATAAACTAAGATTGAATTCATCATAAAATCAAAAGAAAAGAAGAAAGATGTTTAGAGTACTTTCTCACAATTGTTTTTCTTGCTAAGAACCCTTAGAAATCAATACCCCCTTCTTTTGGGCGAAGTCTAGCGTTTTAAATAGGGTTTAGGTCTAAAAATCCCGTGTTTTACACTTAAGTCCCCGAAGTTTACTGTACCCACCGCGATTCTACCGCGGTCGCGGTAGAACCGCGGTCAAACGCCTTCGCGGAATCTTCAACCTTCAGAGACTGTCTTCCACCGCGGTTTCACCGCGGTCGCGGTAGAACCGCGGTGGAACTTGTACCCGGGCATTTTGGCCTGTTTTGAATGGGTTACTTTGGAAATTCAACAATTAGCCTCTTTTCATCAATAATTGACTCCAAAACCGCTCCTTAGCCTTCCTTACACCTATTTCACCTGCAAATCATGTAAAGCACTAATAAGAGCATTTTGTTGTCATTTTCCACATTAAAAGTTCACAAGAAGGTGATTATTTGGTGCGTGATTATAGTCAAATTCACCTATTATCAACGCGTTTGTTTGTTTAAATATAATGTCTATCTTTATTACCAAAAAAAAAAAAGTCTTTGGCCTCGTTTGCCCATAATTTTTTTTCTTTTTCCAATTTTTTTTCAAAACTGTATTTTTCCATGAATTTTTTCGAAATTGAGTTTTCCAGATATCAAGAAAAACTTTTTCCCCACTCACAAAACTTCAATAATTTTTCAAGTGAAATGCATGTCCAAACATAATTTTAAATTCCAAATACCATTTTTTAACTTAATTCCAAATACTACTTTTTTCAAAAATTATAATTTTTTGTCCAAACACCTACTTCATATTTCACTTGAAGATGAATTTCAAAAAAATTTGAAAATTTTCAAAAAAACTGTTTTACAAAATTTTCACTTCAGTCAGTCATAAAAATTCAAAACAACTCCGAATTGTATTCATTCCAAACACAATTCTAATTTTCAAATTTCATTTTCACCGGAAAAGAATTCACTTTTTTTTCCGGAATTTCACAGTTATTATGCCCAAAGGCCCACTAAGTGTTTATAATCTTCATCAAGTCGTGAATCATGACTTGGAAAGTTGTAGTAAACCAAAAGAAAGACCAACTTAATCATAATACCTTTATTTAAGAATTTCAAGTATAACTGACAAAGAAAAAAGAACTAAATTTCCATACATACTATGTGAATTCATAAATCTTGATCATTACTTTTAGGTTGAAAACCATGGACCCAAATCCTTGACCTATTCTAAGGGAAATAGCTCCAACTTTAAATTCTTTTTACCAAAAGGTCAAGCATATCGTTTGGGGTACTAAGTGTGTGCTGATCTATTTTCACATTGGAATAAAGCAATAATAATTTATTATTTGTTTTGCACTTAAAACAAATTTTTCCTCTTCTTCTAGCATGTTTGGCCAAGCTTTTTTTGGCCAAAAGTGTTTTTTTTTTGGCTAAAAGCACTTTTGGCCAAAAATTGAGGTGTTTGGCCAAACTTTTGGAGGAAAAAAAAACTGACTTTTGAGGAGAAGCAGAAGCAGTTTTGGAGAAGCAGAAAAAAGTAGCTTCTCTCCAAAAGCACTTTTTTGAGAAACACTTTTGAGAAAAATACACTTAGAAGCAGTTTTTTAAAGCTTGGCCAAACACCCCCTCTCCAAAAAAATGTTTTTTTTTTCAAATTTCAATTTTTCCGTTACCACCCACCCTACTACCCGTCCACACACCTTTCCCCTCCCCCCCCCCCCCAAAAAAAAATTATTTTTTACCTTAATTTTTTTTTTTGCATTTCAAATTTCTATTTTTTCATTTTTCTACCACCCACCACCACCCCCCCACCCCACCGCACAAAAAAAAATTTACTTTCTTTTTTGTAATTTGAAAATTTCTGTTTTTTTTTCATTTTACTGCAACCCCCCACCCGTAACCCCCCCCCCCCCCCCCCCGAAAAAAATTAAATTTAAATATATTTTTTAGTTTTAATTTTATTATTTATCGGTTTAAAGACTCAAAATTTTACAAGTTTTAAATTAAGAGTTCGGAGGTTTATGTGTTTGGAAGTTTAAGGGTTTAGAAATTATAAAGTTTACGGGTTCGAAATTCCGCGGTTTTGAAAGTTTAGCGGTTCAAAAGTTTATGAAATTTGTGGGTCCGGAAGGTTGTTGGTTTGAAAGTTTATAGCTTCATGTTTATTATATCTAAATTATTTATGAATACTCTTGAGGAGTCATTTTCCTTAATTTGCGTACCAAACACCGGAAAATGAATAAAATTACTACTTGTTTTCCAAGAAAATATTTTCTTGGAAAACATTTTTCGTTATACCAAACACACCCTAAGGGTAATAAAGTTTCAAATAGTGTATAGGAATGAAAACATCCCTTAAAAAATGACATGTGCCATCAAATTAGACCTGCACTGATGGAATTGGAGAGATTAGCCTAATCTGAAATTGTTTCTAAAATTTAGAGAGGGTTGGATAGTTATCTCAATGCAAATTAGATGTTTTTCCTCACATGAAATTTCAATCTACTAACGGTTGGGATATATACTATTAACCATGAATTTTGGTTTGAATATAGTATTTATTATGGAACAATTATTTATTCAATTTTAATAAAGTTTTAAATAGATCATACATTCGTTTGTGTCCTTTACTTATATAGTAGATGATTTAGTGTATATAATTTAGCTTATACACGGAAGATTAAATCATCGGTTCTTATAAGTATAAAGATTATGTTCACAATCTAATGATGGAATTGGACAAACCATTAGGAATGATTGTAGCACAAGATTAGAGATAATTTATCTTGATTATGGGAATGGTTTAATTCCAACTTCTTATGCTAGTACATTTTGTATGTATTGAACGGACCAAGTAGAGATAAGTATTTTATACTGACTTAATAAAATAAACTCTCTAGCCATTAAATGTACTTATACTCTTAATCTTGATATAATTGTTATTAGCTGTGTATATTATTATTGTTTTGATTTATTAAAAGGCGAGATTCTTTCGTGGGTCAATATGCCTGGTAAATTGGACAATAATAATATACATTGACAAAGTAATAGTTAGTTGACGGAATCCATGTCTCGGTCTAGAGATTGATGATTATGAAAGCTTATAAGTTTTCATGTGTAAACCCTGCAGGTGGATTCTGTATCCGTCACATGAAATAAGTTAAGCGAAAGTCTAAAGGAAATAATCAATGAATTAAATTGTCAGTAATTTATTTTATTGATTAGTATCTGAATCTTAACATGGGGAGTTAAATAAGATTTAATGGAAGAATTTCGAAATTGAACTGAGGAGTGCAGTTATGAATTTTTAGTAGAATAATTTGTAACTTATTATGGTAGTATTAATTCAGATATTTCGAATTAAGTCCATAATAGGAAGCCTCGTTAATTAAATACTGCGGTCCCTGCTGTGCCCGAATAATTAGGAATTAAATGGAATTCTATTTCTTGGTGGAAAAAGAAGACCCAACAGGTTTAGGAAAAGGGTTTTAAACCCTAAAACCTGTGGCTATATAAAGAGGTCTTATTCCATAAGGAGGCAAGGTTTTTACTACATGCTTTTCCTAGGAGAAATTCGCCCACACGAATTTCGCTAATTCCAGGCATTATTCGGGTCACAAAGCAGAAGACCGTGGAACTAAAGGATGAACTCGTGGATGGTTTTTGCTCATGCTTGGAGGCTTCTCGCAATTGCAGTCACGCTTCAAGAGATAAGTATCAATTTTATGTTCGAGTAAAATCTGTGATTATGTGTTGTCTATATTACATGCAAGTGATCCTGGCTATTTACTTCCGCTGTTCATACCTGTTTTCCATCACTAACACCTCCTTTTCTCAACGTTGAGCTACTTGCAGTAAATAGTAATTCCTCAAAGAGAAAAAAAATAATCTCCCACAACCCATTCAAGACCAAGATTGGCAATTTTTCAAAAAGGCAGAAACCATCATTATTGTCATTGAAATCAAAATTTAAACAGCAATTCTCCTTTGCTAATCAACTTTGGAACTTTAATTAGGACTCTTTTTTTTTGGAATTCCACCAGAAAAAACTAATTAAACGCGCCATTCAAAGACTGCAATCTGATTAGGCCAATATAAAAGTTTTACAGTTGAAATTTGACTTTCATATCTCAAATAGTTGACTCTTATCCCCCCACTATTCCTATAAATAAACTACTCTCAAATACAAAGTTTTCAGCAAGAACAAGCTTTTAGATATACATAAACCTTCTTTTAATTTTTTGCCTTCATATATATAACTTTTAACAATGGTTGCACACTTGTCCAAAATTCTTTCAAATTCCAAAAATGTCTTTGATTTTGTTGTCAATGAAGGGAATGGAGTTAAGGGTCTTTCTGATATGGGAATTCAATCACTTCCTGTTCAATATATTCAACCACTTGAAGAACGAATCACTACGAGCACTGTAATAACCGATGATTCTATCCCTATAATCGACGCCTCAAATTGGAATGATCCAAAGGTGGCTGATCAGATTTGCATGGCAGCTCAAAACTGGGGTTTCTTTCAAATTATCAATCATGGAGTTCCTATTGAAGTTCTTGATAACATAAAGGAGACAAGTCATCGTTTTTTTAGTTTACCAGCTGAGGAAAAGAAGATGTATTCGAAAGAGAATTCGATTTCGAGTAATGTTAGGTATGGGACAAGCTTTACTCCTGAAGCTGAGAAGACTTTGGGTTGGAGAGATTATCTTTCTCTTGTTCATGTTTCTGATGATGAAGCTGCTGAGTTTTGGCCGCCTTCTTGCAGGTAAACCTTCTTAATTCTCTTTTAAATATGAGTTTAAATTTTATATACCGATAGCGTAAAAGAATTTTACAGTATCAACTTGTATAAAAACTAACTACGGATTGCCCTCCGTAAGATGGGATTAGTAACATAGAAAATAAAACATGTCACTTGTTATATAAGAGGTTAAAACACATGATTGTGCCGTAAATTATAATCTCTATGTTTTTGGTGTACAGGCTAATAGTCCGTTTGGCCATAAATTTTTTTTACTTTATTTCAAAAAAAATTTACTTTTTTTTTTCGAAATCAAGGTGTGGCTATAAAAGTTCCAATTTCCACTTGAAGATGAATTTTGAAATTTTTCGAAAATTTGAAAAACTCCAAAAAGCTATTTTTCAAAATTTCATTCAACAAAAATTCAAAAACAACCCAAAGTTATATTCATGTGCAAATACAACTCTAAAGTTTTCAAATATCATTTTCACTTGATTTTTTTTTTTTTTTACTTTTTTCGGAATTTTACTATTCTTATGTCCAAACACCCACTAAATTCTTTAAATATATTTATGTGCATTTTTTATTCCTCTTACACTTTTCTCCATTTTTTTTAAAGAATTGTACGTAAAACATCCTATATAAGAGTACTTACAATGAATTTTCTGTCTACTCTTATAGGGAAGAAGCACTTGAATATTTGAAGAGGTGTGATACAGTTATAAGAAAGATTTTGAAGGTGCTAATGGGAGGATTAAATGTGAAAACAATTGATGAAGAGAAAGAGGATCTCTTAATAGGTTCAAAGAGGATAAACTTCAACTACTACCCAAAATGTCCCAACCCTGAGCTTTCAGTCGGGGTAGCGCGTCACTCTGATATATCAACAATCACTTTTCTCCTTCAAGATGATATCGGTGGACTATACGTGAAAAAACTCGATAGTAATGCATGGATTCACGTCCCTCCAATCAACGGGGCTCTAGTTATTAATATTGGTGACGCGCTTCAAATAATGAGCAATGATAAATACAAGAGCGTTGAACATCGTGTGATTGCTAATGGGAGCAAGAATAGGGTTTCTGTGCCCATTTTCTTGCATCCAAAGCCTTCGAGTGTTATTGGTCCTCTTCAAGAAGTGCTGAAGAATGGTGAGAAACCAATTTACAAGCAGATTTTGTATGCTGATTACACCAAGATTTTCTTCAGCAAAGGGCATGATGGAAAGGACACAATAGAATGTGCAAAGATATAGAGACATTATGTTCACAATCTCTACTTATATTTATTGCTAATAGGGTGCATGTACTTATGCATGAGAATTTTACAATAATTTTATAATAATTAGATATATACTGAAAAAGCAAATATAAGAATCTTGTACTGATCAAGTATAATGATTTTTCAGAATAATTGACCTTTTTCTAGGAACTTTAGTAATAGGTGTTACTGTGGGACCAATCTAAATAAAAAGCAATTAAAAAGAAAAAGAAAAAATGACATCAAGTTGCAAATGTAACAAGTTGCAATAACAACAAAACCAATATGAAGTTGGTTTTGAACGGTGGAACAAGTTATGGCAATTTGCAATATGCAAATTGTAAATACAGCCTTTTGATTGGTTGGAGGAACGGTCTCTCACTACTATAAAAGGAGGCTTCAGCTATTCATTTCAAGCACACCAAATCGAGAGAAGCAACAGAGTGTTAGAGAGAGTAATCCACAGATTGTAGTCTGTGAGATAAATAGTAAGTGGGAGTAATATTGTAGTGAAGTGTGTAAAATAAAGAGTGTTATTTCTTTCGAAGTTGTAGTAGTATTTTGACACTACTAAGTTATAATATTATAGTGGTAATATTGCTCCGCTGGGGTATTGTCCCGTTAAAATATTTGGTGTCGTTGTTACTCTCTTGTGTTATTGTTATTTACCGTGGATATTATTCCTGGGCGGGATTATTATTTTTATTCCCAACAACGTGGTATCAGAGCCATGGCGAGTAATGGTCCGCTGTCTTTTCAGTACCCCCGTTTCACAAAAGATAATTATGAGAAATGGTGTCTACGCATTAAAGCCATTCTTGGCTCCCAGGATGTGTGGGAAATCATAGATAGAGGGTATGCAAAACCCGATAATGAGGAAGCTCTGCCTCAAAATGAAAAAGATGTGTTGGCAAAGACAAGGAAGAAGGATCAACAAGCCCTCACGCTCATCCACCAATGTTTGGATGATGCCATGTTTGAGAAGGTGGCAGATGCTACCACCTCAAAGGAAGCTTGGGGGATTTTACAAAATTCTCTCCAAGGAGTTGACAAGGTGAGGAAGGTAAAAATTCAAACTCTAAGGGATGATTTTGAATTTTTAAAAATGAAAGAATCTGAATGCATTTCAGATTATTGTTCAAAAGTGAAGGCTGTTGTAAATCAATTGAGACGATACGGGGAGGACATAGAAGATGTCCGTGTGGTAGAAAAGATCCTTTGCACTTTAACACCTAAATTCGATTTTGTGGTGTGTGCTATTGAAGAGTCTAAAGATTTAGACTCAAAGATGGTGGAGCAATTGGAGGGTTCTTTACACGATCATGAAGAAAAGATCAAGAGGAGACAAGAAGTACCACTTGAGTAACTTCTTAAAACTCAGGGATCCTTTAAGGATTATGAAGGTGAAAAAAGCTATTGAGGGAATGGACGAGGACGAGGACGAGGCCGTGGCGGTCATGGAAGAGGAAGAACTAATAGTAACAACTTCAACAATGAAGTTAAAATCCACCAAAAATTCAGAGGTCGTGGTCGTGGACAAAGAGGAGGAAGAGGACGCGGCTACTATCAAGAAAATAATGGACAAAGGTATGACAAATCAAAAATTTAGTGCTATAATTGTTATAAATTTGGCCATTACTCTTGGGAATGTCGTAGCAATGTTGAAGAGAAAGCTAACCTTGTTGGCGACAAGAAAGAAGAAGATGAATCAACGTTATTGTTGGCACTCAAGGAAGAAGACATGGATGATTGCAGCTCGTGGTATTTGGACAGTGGAGCAAGCAATCATATGTGTGGATGCAAAGAAAAGTTTGTGAAGATCAATAAAATGGTAAGAGGTAATGTGTCCTTTGGAGATACCTCAAAGATTCAAATCGAAGGGATAGGTACGTTGATCTCCTGTAAAGATGGTAGTCACAAGCTAATTCAAGATGTTTATTATGTGCCAAAATTAAAAAGTAATATTTTGAGTTTGGGCCAACTTCTTGAAAAGGAATATGACATTCACATGAAAAATATGCATCTGTGGCTTAGAGATTCAAGTGGAATTCTAATTGCTAAAGTGCATATGGCAAAGAATAGATTATTTTTTCTGAATCTTAAAACAATTGATGCAAAGTGTTTGAAGGCTAATGTGCAAGATGAATCATGGTGTTGGCACATGCGATTTTGACACTTAAATTTTGAAGCGCTCAAATCAATGGGAGAAAAGAACATGGTACATGGGATACCATCAATCAATCATCCAAATCAATTGTGTGAAGCTTGTCTTCTTGGAAAACATGCAAGGAGGAGTTTTCCAAAGGAGGCCATGTCAAGATCAACCAAGCCGCTCCAGCTTGTTCACACTGATGTGTGTAGACCAATCAACCCACCTTCTTATGGTAAAATTAGATACTTTCTGCTTTTCATTGATGACTTTAGTAGTAAGACTTGGGTTTATTTCTTGAACCAAAAATCTGAAGCTTTTGTTGCTTTTAAAAATTTCGAAGTACTTGTGAAGAAAGAAAGTGGCTATGAAATAAAGCTCTAAGGGCCGATAGAGGAGGCGAATTCACTTCAAACGAATTTAATGACTTTTGTCAGTCTTATGGAGTTCGTCGCCCTCTAACGGTACCTTATTCACCCCAACAAAATGGAGTTGCAGAGAGAAAGAATCGAACGATTCTTAATATGGCTTGATGTATGTTGAAAGCTAAAGTATGCCCAAGGAATTTTGGGCCGAAGCTGTTTCTTGTGCAGTTTATTTGAACAACAGGTCTCCAACAAGGAATGTTAGAGATCAAACGCCTCAAGAAGCATGGAGTGGAAGAAAGCCAAGTGTCAAACACTTGAGAATCTTTGGGAGCATAGCATATGCTCATGTGCCACAGCAAGGGAGAGCGAAGCCTGACGATCGAAGTGTCAAGCATGTGTTTGTTGGCTATGATACGAGTTCAAAAGGCTACAAGTTATACAACCCAAGCAGTAACAAGGTGGTGGTAAGTCGCGATGTTGAATTTGATGAAGAATTGGCATGGGATCGGGAAGCTCAGGAAGAAACTTCATATGATTTTCTTCCATACTTTGGTGATGAAGAAGAACCAGAGACCCTGGAACCTGTGCAGGATACAACTCCACCTCCTTCTCCAACCAATGTTGCATCTCCCTCTTCTCAAGAAAGTTCAAATGAACAGCCGCAAAGGACAAGAAGTATTCAAGAGCTCTATGAGGACACAGAAGAAGTTACTAATTTTGATTTTTTATGTTGTCTCTTTGCTGACAGTGAACCAATGAACTTTGATGAAGCTGTTACAAACAAAAAGTGGAGACAAGCCATGGAAGAGGAGATTGAGTCAATAGAGAAGAACAACACTTGGGAGTTAACAACTCTTCCCAAGGGTCATCGAGCAATTGGAGTGAAATGGGTATACAAAATAAAGAAGAATGCTGATGGAGATGTGGAGAAATACAAGGCACGACTTGTGACTAAAGGCTACAATCAAAGGCAAGGCATTGACTATGAAGAAGTCTATGCACCTGTTGCCCGCATGGAGACGATTCGTTTGCTGATCTCTTTGGTGGCGCAAATGAAGTGGAAGATCCATCAACTAGATGTCAAGTCAGCCTTCTTGAATGGCTATCTTGAAGAAAAAGTCTATGTTGAACAACCATTGGGCTTCGTGGTAAAAAACCATGAAGATAAAGTGTTGCGGTTGAAGAAAGCTTTATATGGATTAAAGCAAGCCCCACGAGCATGGAATAGTTGCATCGACAAATATTTTCAAGACAATGGGATTACTCGTTGTCTCCATGAATATGCTCTTTACCTTAAAGTTCATACTAATGGAGATATCTTACTTGTTTGTCTTTATGTTGATGATCTAATTTTCACGGGCAATAACTCAAGTTTGTTTGAAGCTTTTAAGAAAGATATATCCCGTGAGTTCGATATGACGGATGTAGGGCTCATGTCATACTACCTGGGCCTAGAAGTGAAACAGATGGAGGATAGAATTTTTATCTCTCAAGAAAGCTATACAAATGAGATATTGAAGAAGTTCAACATGCTCGATTGCAACCCCGTGAACAGACCGATGGAGAGTGGGACAAAATTGTCCAAGTTTGATGAAGGAGAAAAGGTGGATCCCACATTTTTCAAAAGTCTTGTGGGAAGTTTGAGGTACTTGACTTGTACCAGGCCAGATATACTCTTTGCAGTTGGAGTAGTAAGCCACTTCATGGAAGCTCCTACCTCCACTCATTTGAAAGTCACTAGAAGAATTCTTCGTTATCTAAAAGGTACTATTGACTTTGGGTTATTTTATTCTTCTTCTAGTGATTTCAACCTTATGGGATTTTGTGATAGTGATTATGCGGGAGATATTGATGATAGAAAAAGTTTAGCTGGTTTTGTATTTTTCTTGGGTGATTCTGTTATTTCTTGGAGTTCAAAGAAACAACCAATTGTTACTCTCTCGACTTGTGAAGCTGAATATATAGCAGCAACATCATGTACATGTCATGCCATTTGGCTGAGAAGATTGTTGAAGGACCTCAATTTACCACAAATTGAAGCTATAGAGATTTGTATTGACAACAAATCCGCACATGCACTCGCGAAGAATCCAGTGTATCATGATCGAAGCAAGCATATTGATACAAGGTATCACTTCATCAGAGAAATCATTTCCAAGAAGGAAGTCGAGCTCAAGTATGTGAAATCTCATGATCAAGTTGCAGATATTTTTACCAAGCCTCTCAAATTTGAAGATTTTCAGAGATTGAGATCAAGACTTGGAATGAAGAAAAATCAAAATTAAGGGAAAGATTTGTGGGACCAATCTAAATAAAAAGCAATTAAAAAAAGAAGAAAAAATGACATCAAGTTGCAAATGTAACAAGTTGCAATAACAGCAAAACCAATTTGAAGTTGGTTTTGAACGGTGGAACAAGTTATGGCAATTTGCAATATGCAAATTGTAAATACAGCCTTTTGATTGGTTGGAGAAACGGTCTCTCACTACTATAAAAGGAGGTTTCAGCTACTCATTTCAAGCACACCAAATCGAGAGAAGCAACAGAGAGTTAGAGAGAGTAATCCACAGATTGTAGTCTGTGAGATAAATAGTGAGTGAGAGCAATATTGTAGTGAAGTGTTTAAAATAAAGAGTGTTATTTCTTTTGAAGTTGTAGTAGTCTCTTGACACTACTAAGTTGTAATATTATAGTGGTAATATTGCTCCGCTGGGGTATTGTCCCGTTAAAATATTTGGTGTCGTTGTTACTCTCTTGTGTTATTGTTATTTACCGTGGATATTATTCCTGGGCGGGATTATTATTTTTATTCCCAACAGTTACAATAATTCTTTTTTTTGGCTTTGTTTTTGTCCTAAATAAACAACATAGACTTGACTTCCTTGACGACTGACCTTTAGGACAGATTCCCATTCATTTTTCTTTCTTCTC